ATTATATATATTAGATATTATATATATAATTTATATATATATCTATTATATATATATATATCATTTTATATAGATATAATTTGATATGCATAGCGCCAAAAAAAACTGACAAAAAACGTTACATGCTTTTTTTTTAAAAGGGATAATATTTAATTGCGTCATTATTATTTCAAAGACTTTTGCGCAATAATCCGTTTTCGATATAGAGATATATAATTTGTTATATTTTTGCAGCGACAGCACCACTAACTCCGATAAACAAAATTTAATGGAAATTCAATTGAATGGTACTAAAGACCCCCTCGGGTGCCTAACCGAGTTCGCCAAGCAATCGAGCAACAAAGTCGTCGATCGTGAATTTAATTTGTTCAACTTCTGGATTGCACAGCCCCTGGATGTCTTGGGTCGTCGACACTTTCCCTCAGTCTCACAATTTTCCATTTTCCCTTCCCGCCAGTTTCCCTGTTACACCTTACTGTAGTTTTTCAAAGGTATCAATGGAAATGGTTTAATGAGAAAAGTTTAAATAATTAATGGAGAAGGAATAGGTGGGGTGAGAAAGCGGAAAATTTGGGAAAATGCTTTTTGAATATTTTCCTGATTTTGGTGTGACAAAGTTGTGGGTTCAGGGTAATTTTCATGTAGTCTTCGAGGAGGTTGGGAAGAGGGGAGGGGAAAGGAGAGGGGGCATGGAGGGGTATTATTTACATTTTTTATACAGTTTTCGATGGAGTGACGCCGGTCTGTCCGACGCTCTGGGCCTCGACGACCAATCGATATGGATGTCGTGTTACTATCCTTCCACAATTCCAAGTCGATATCACATATATGTATATATACTCAACAGTTCTATGTAGAAGAGGAAGAAAGAGGGGAATGAATGAGAAATTACAGACGGACTCGATAGTTGCGGGCAATTGCATACGTCGAGAGGAATGGACGATCCCCCCATGGAAAAGTGTACACAAAAAATACATGCCCGAGATGATATGTGGTGAGATTGTTTATGGTATGTCGTGCCGAAAAGTCACTTTCCCGCACATTGTGATGAAAAATATTACAGACCTCGTGCAGAAAGTAATTTTTGGGTTATTTACTGCATAGTAGACGGGAAGTTTTTATAGCGTTCCATATTTTTGTGACGTCAAAGGAGTCGTTGGATAGAATTTTTGGATTAGGTAGGAAGGGGAACAGGATAATTCTCGATGTAATTTTTACAAGAGAAATTACTGAAAAAATGGATAGTTCAGACCGGGATTTGAACCCGGGACCTTCTGATTATGCATCGGGTGCTCTCACAATTACCACTCGTCTTCGGCAAGCCTTCCATACGGCAAAAATTATTTTTCGTATTTGTGGCGAAATATAGTATTTCAAAAGAAAGCTGTACTAAGTATGCACTCACCCGAAAATGAACTATTATTTCCGTATTGATCAGATATATCATAATTGAATAAATAATTGTTCAACCTCTCGGGCCTGCTTGTCCACCGACCACTGGTGTGAAGCTGACATTCTCACGTAAAATTGACGAAAAATCGAATAATTTTCAAGTGATTTGACGTGGTTTTTAGTTGGAATTCAACAAGTTTTAATAGCCGCGAAGACGTGGCAGTTTCATAATTTTTTTCGTAGAAAATGATAAACTTTACTATCTCGTCTCTCGGTTTGTCCGGGGACTTCAGATAAAATTTATTCCAATGATTTTACTGCCGTCGATGACGTGACTATTCATATTAATTTCCGATAAAAACCAGATGCCAGACTCTAAAATTTTCCAGTACCTTTTTTTCTAACCCGGAAAATTCTTGACTTGACAGTTCGTAAACTAGCATTATAGATTCATCATGGCTTCAAGTTTTATACTATTATTATTAACAATTGTAGCAACTCTTTCAGGTAAGAGCTGAATAATAATTATTATTGTGAGAATTTTTCCTTCCACATATGTCCAATATCTTGACCATCTCAAATGAAATTCCGATTGCCTATTTCTGCCAGTGAAATAATAAATAGATATCCATATGGATGCGATTTGGTTCGTGTAACATCGCACATAATCGGTGAATATTTATCAAAATAATTAACTAATCAACAAAAAAATTGGTATCAGAATAGGAACATCCGAAATTCATTTGACTGATGATGTCTCTATCGTTTCCAAATAATCAAATCCCATTAATAATAACCTGTGCCGAAGTTTTTCTGCCACGGACAATTCACCAGGACTAGTCGATTAATAATAATGATAAACTATTTTCAGAGATGAAGACCCAGAACGGGGTAATACCGGCTGTCCCGGGTCAGTTTCCTTTCATTGCAATCATTAGATACCATAATGGGGTGGTTGCCATTGGGGCCCTCATCTCTCCAAACGTAGTTTTAGGCTCTGCCGTCCATACGTTTGACATGCCTGAAAGCATTGCGGTCCAATTGGGATGCATTTCAGTATATAATTGCTTCACTCCACTGATCCCAGCTTTTATAGATGATGAGTACGACAAACACATTTTTGTATTTTTAAAGGTAAGTGGTGGTAATCCCTAATAATAAAAAAAAATAATTATGTCGAGATCATACTGGCTTCTAGAGCGAAGGAGAAGGGGTGAAGAAGGAAAGGTTCTGTATATCGAGCCAACCATGGAAAATTACCAATATGGTGTCTCTCACTTAATGCAGCGAGATTTTGGTACTATACGATTCACTTCCTGCAAGATTAGTGCAAAAAAAATTGATATTTGCATATTTTTTTAGGAAATTATTTACAAACCATGTGCTATTATATCCGTATTTTCACAGCGGAAACCGTCACTTCGTCCATTTTCATTTATTACGGGTTTTCAGCTCAGTGTGCCAGCCGAGTTTACTGACACGGTTCAAAAAATTTCAATCGGTTCTGCCATGGATTATACGATCCCAATATGTACATACGTGGGATTGAATGGATATAGTGGCCAAGTATACTCGATGTCAGTGAAGATTTCTCATCGAGAATCGTGCCGAAAAAAAGGAGTGCCTGTTCATGCGTTCCACCTATGTTTCGAAGATGTTACCTCGTCTATAATTCTACCCGATGTAAGCATGAATATGAACTGAGTGCCGCCTATTAATACAAATAAATTACTTCCACCAATTAATTTTATTTTATCAACTACACTTACTGTTTTTTTTCTCATTACAGAAAACCCTTGGCGGGTCAATAATTTGCGGGAAACGTTTGGTCGGAATGATGAACATGTATTCGGTTCTTCACAAAACTGGTCCACACCGCATGTACGATTTGACTGTGGCGTGAAAAAAAAACTGTAATTTTATATCACTTTTAGCACAAATGTGTACTACAAAATTATTATTTCCATTGTATAATTTAATCTTACTATCAATTTACTATGATATTCGAAGTTGTGAAATAATTTTATCA